TAGATTCAAGCAAGCTATTCAGACGTCTCTCCTTGGCTTCTTTTAAAGTTCTTCTGACCTGGTTTGCGAGACTGTCATGAATTCTTTTGGCTAATGGGTGTCGGTTCACAAGAAAATGACGTTTGAGCAGTCTTTTGGCCTTGATCATTAATTCCAGAGACCTGCTGAGTGGGCACTGGTTTTGCGCTCGTTGGTGGTATTGAATTGCGTGAGAGTTTGTTGCATATTGTGCTGCTGCTCGAATATTACGCTCAAGAGTATCTGTGGCATCCTCAATATCTGCAGCTGAGTGGATTTCTGTATCCAGCAGTACATGCTGGTTTAGCCAGGCTTGAAAGCGAGCAACACTCGCGTTAAGTGGTAGTAGATAGCACCTTGACTTGTTAAATGCCGGGGTTTCAAGAAGTTCGATTAATAGAGGGAGATGATCAGAGCCAAGGTCGTGTGTAGCGCTTATCTGTAGGAGTTCTCTCTGCAGTCCCTTATAGACAGCAAAGTCTATTGCTGACGGCGATTGTCTAGCATTGTACGGGAAGTGTGTTGAGGACCCAGTTGCAAGAATCTCACAATTATTTTGCTGTACATATCTGAGAAGATTACCACCTCGTCTGCAGGATCTAGCATTGCCCCACCAATGACTTTTCGCATTCCAATCTCCTGCAATGATGAACTTGTTGCCGAGCTCACGAAGAGCAGCAAACAGCTCATCTTCGAGTTCAATCAGGGGCGGGCAATATACTGCTGCGATGTTAATAGCAGACCCATTAAGCAGAGTGATTTTTGTTGCCGCGCACTGCATTGATATAGCGCTAGTGAGAGGAAGAGCGATATGCTGTAGACTGTGCTTGACCAGTATAGCTGCGCCTCCTCGTCGCGTATTAGATGGGTGATGTGCTTGATATGCATAGTAGCCGTCGATCTTGATTTCGTCTGTGCCGCGCAGGTGAGTTTCAACTATGATCATGATGTCAATATTGTTCTGATAGATGAATGCCTCCATTTCTAACATTTTGTTTCGCAACCCACATGCATTCCATGAGGCGATTTTGAGCCCGTTTGATCTGCGATTACTGCTATCTTGACGGACTGTGCTAGGTATATGGTTGTTAAACATTTTGTTTGCTAGTAACTTGCTCCTTTGCCATTAGGCAAGATGTCAAGTTGGTAAGTAAGTTCAGAAGTTTATCTAGCTTGTTTTCAATGTTGGAGTTGGCTCTCAAACGATCTTCAGTCATTAAAGTGATAAGAGTGTCCAGTTTTTGACCAATGTCGCAGTTTGTGTTTAAGTTAGTAGCGCTCCGTCGCGTACTGCAGCTGCGGCTTCTATTTTGCTGGCGTGCCAGCGTTTGTTGACCATCCATTTGCCTGCGAGTCGGGAGTTGTTGTTGCTTAGGGCGTGATTGGCGATGCTGCTGTTGGGCTGTCTGCCGCTTTAGCTTCTGTTGTTGTTGCTGCTTTTGCGAATGCATATCCGGCAAGCCAGAACGCAAGGCCGACGCATAAGAATTTGCAGCAAAGTTCACAGTTTGTTGTTGTTGTTGTTGTTGCTGCTGATCAATATGTACCCGTTGGCGCGACTTTGAGCGTTGACGTTGATCTTGCTGCTGTACCGATTTCAGCGGCTGCTGCTGTCGCTGTTGTGACCGTTTTCTTTGGCGACTACGCATAACTGGCAATGTTGGCTGTCCTAGCTGAGCAAGTAGGACATTGGCTTTGACCACGCTCTCAGACTCTTTTTGCTTGCAGGCATCCTTGAAGGACTGACACCCTTTGTAGCTAGCCGCATGTGGGCCTTCGCAATTAGCGCATTTTGGCCGATCGTTAGCCGTTATGCTGCACTCAGTAGAAGGATGTTTCCCGCTACATTTGACGCATACGAATGCACGCCTGCAATAATTCTTCGTATGCCCAAATTGTTGGCAGCGATGACATTGCACTATATCGGTAGTTCGTAGTGGTAGCTCAGCTTTGACCTTTTGGCCGCCGAGCATGTTGAGCCTTAAAATTTCGCTGTTATTTGCCTTGGGCTCCAATTCTATCTCAAACATGTCCATTGGCTCCCTAGTGAATCGTTTTTTAATAACACTAACGAATCGGGCTTTGTGCCCCAGGTCAGACAATTTAGTGCGAATCCAATCCGCCGGAGTAGAGCGATGTAAATGGCGCATGATAATTTTGAAGCCACGTTCGTGCTTCAGTTGGTATGTATGTGAAGCAATGGAGTTATCTTGGAAGTACTGTACTAGCTTTCGGTAAGAATCTACATCGTTGCAAAGCACTTGCAGGCCCTGACCAGCAGAAGGCTTAGTTGCATAGGTGCCCTCACCAATGACATCATTAATGCCTTCAATTAATGGCATTATTTCCGGAACAAAAGGTATGAAAAGTGGCGCTGGTTTGATTTTTTGTACCTTGGGTACTGGGGCTCTTACGTCAACACCAGCAGAATTTGCATGATTTACCGTAGTGTTGTTGTTTACATTTACATTAGTAATGTTTGGGGCAGGCGCATCGGTTACTGGATCAACAGCGTCAATCTGCATGTCTTCATCAGGATGGTCTGTAACCCAGAGTTCATGCTGTTGGCCGTTCCCAAGGAGATTTTCTAATTCTTCACTCAGGGCGGCATCATTAGCAGCAGCCTTGCTTATATCGGCTTCTAGCATCTTGATTCGCTTGGCGCTGTTATCTGGAATTGCATGGCGTTTAGAAACCTTACCCTTGAGTTTTTTATCACTAGCAATTTTGGTCAGCAAGTCAGCAAGAGTTGACTTCTTAGTAGTTGCGGCTGCGTCGGGGGCAACTTTATTAGCAGCAGCTAAGCCTGCGGCACGCGAGGTGCTGGGCGCATGATTTAGCTGCTCATTGTTATTTTGATTGGCATCAATTTGCATTGCAGGGATTTTCAACGCATTATTAGCTGAGAATGGACCGCGGCCAGCTTTGATTAGCTGAATTTCAATGTCCGAGTCTTCCTCATCAATCGGTGTCGTGATTTGTTTATTGTTATGTTGACGCTGTGCCATGTAAACAGTTTGAGAGGCATACGAGAAAGTAAGAAGTCTGGTCTCACTATTATTTAATAGATCATGTGATATCGATTCTTTCTGTTATTACATGTGTTTTATATCGTCCTATCGATAAGTTTTTATTTACAGCACTAGCACAAATACGGCTGGGCCTAGTGCCCTTTGCCCTTTGCTGCACCGAAAAATGTGCAATTTTCTATTTGATAGTTTTCAGACAAAATGTATGTGGTTTCACAATTTTTGATTTTTCACGTGCGCCGCGCACTCTCGCGGACACATTGCCACCACTTTAGTAATTTTCAATTTTTGATTTTTTTTTTTGACTTTCCGTATGCTCGTTGACACACGCACTAGACCAACATTCAAATTGCACCAATCCGCACCTGCATAGCAGGGGGGGGGGTGCAGCTAGTGTTGGTATTCTTTATTCAACATTAATATTTGACATATTTTAATTGAATTTTTTAGCGCCTACATTTTAACATTTCTGTTAACTTACAATTTAACATTATGTTATTTACAGGCACATATTAGCAAGTCCCATCACTAGGACAATTTAACATTAAAAAAGGTAAACAAGTTTTCCGCTGTTAACAGGCACAGCTTTTAGCTATTGTGTCTTTCAAAGGTAAGTTAAATTTGAATTTAATTTTAATAATCTTATATTTATGCTGCATGGTCTTCTTTTCAGGTTTCCTTCGTGCTGCATTTGTTGGAGAAGGTGGACGATGTGCATATTTGCACTCTTCAGAAGGCGCTAAACGATATAGCCAATTTGATCATAACGACTGCTTCGAAGTGTGAGTAGTTGATCTTTGTTTGAATTAGTGGATTATAAACATGCAATCCTTGCATCTCAGCCGTTGTTACCGGTCAGATAAGTAGCGGCTGCTACCACCATGTCGTCTGTTGGTCAACCAGCGGAATATATTTTGCAGCCTGATTAACTGGAGTCGCCATGTTGACCAGCGCTGATCTAGGTACCACAAATTCGAGTCCAAAGTTCGCAGGAGCAGCCGTCGCCAGATTGATCGCCACTGTGCTGGATATTGGAGTCTGAATTGCTGCAAACGTGCTAGCCGCTGTCGTCTGGTAGTATGCATCAGATAATAGCTTCTTGCAGCATATCTTCTGATTCTCAATCTTTGTTGCAGTTGCCGTTCGATCAGACGCCATTGACGTGGAAGCTGCTCTGGTCGAGTTGTCTGATTTGAGCGCTGAATGCACCTAACGTAACCATGATAACGAGATCAGTAATCCTTCGCCATTTGGCACATCTGGTATGCCGTCAATTGTGTGCCTCACAGACAAGCTGATAGCCGACGCCGTATTGGTTGCCTGTGCTGTTGTTGTGTTTGTGTGGGTGCTCGTCGTTGGAGAACTGCCCATTGCGCTGCGGTTGGCTGCTGCAGAGTTCGCTGGAAATATAAAAATACTCGTTATCGGCACGGCTTCTTGTTGGGCCGGTGGCATAGCGAAGTACGCTTGCCTTGCCAGACGTCTTGCTTGTAGTCGCTCTTCTAGCCGCTGTAGTGCCTGCTCTCTTTGCGCATATATTTGAGCATATATTTGTATCGACTCTTGATGTTCTCGAAGCATTCCTGTCTATTTGACTTTCCGTATGCTCGTTGACACACGCACTAGACCAACATTCAATTGCACCAATCCGCACCTGCATAGCAGGGGGGGGGGTGCAGCTAGTGTTGGTATTCTTTATTCAACATAATATTTGACATATTTTAATTGAATTTTTAGCGCCTACATTTTAACATTTCTGTTTAACTTACAATTTAACATTATGTTATTTACAGGCACATATTAGCAAGTCCCATCACTAGGACAATTTAACATTAAAAAAGGTAAACAAGTTTTCCGCTGTTAACAGGCACAGCTTTTAGCTATTGTGTCTTTCAAGGTAAGTTAAATTTGAATTTAATTTTAATAATCTTATATTTATGCTGCATGGTCTTCTTTTCAGGTTCCTTCGTGCTGCATTTGTTGGAGAAGGTGGACGATGTGCATATTTGCACTCTTCAGAAGGCGCTAAACGATATAGCCAATTTGATCATAACGACTGCTTCGAAGTGTGAGTAGTTGATCTTTGTTTGACTTAGTGGATTATAACATGCAATCCTTGCATCTCAGCCGTTGTTACCGGTCAGATAAGTAGCGGCTGCTACCACCATGTCGTCTGTTGGTCAACCAGCGGAATATATTTTGCAGCCTGATTAACTGGAGTCGCCATGTTGACCAGCGCTGATCTAGGTACCACAAATTCGAGTCCAAAGTTCGCAGGAGCAGCCGTCGCCAGATTGATCGCCACTGTGCTGGATATTGGAGTCTGAATTGCTGCAAACGTGCTAGCCGCTGTCGTCTGGTAGTATGCATCAGATAATAGCTTCTTGCAGCATATCTTCTGATTCTCAATCTTTGTTGCAGTTGCCGTTCGATCAGACGCCATTGACGTGGAAGCTGCTCTGGTCGAGTTGTCTGATTTGAGCGCTGAATGCACCTAAACGTAACCATGATAACGAGATCAGTAAATCCTTCGCCATTTTGCACATCTGGTATGCCGTCAATTGTGTGCCTCACAGACAAGCTGATAGCCGACGCCGTATTGGTTTGCCTGTGCTGTTTGTTGTGTTTGTGTGGGTGCTCGTCGTTGGAGAAATGCCCATTGCGCTGCGGTTGGCTGCTGCAGAGTTCGCTGGAAATATAAAAATACTCGTTATCGGCACGGCTTCTTGTTGGGCCGGTGGCATAGCGAAGTACGCTTGCCTTGCCAGACGTCTTGCTTGTAGTCGCTCTTCTAGCCGCTGTAGTGCCTGCTCTCTTTGCGCATATATTTGAGCATATATTTGTATCGACTCGTGATGTTCTCGAAGCATTTCCTGTCTATGTTGCTCTTCTCTTTGTTGCCTCTCTATTCTCCGCTGTGCGCGTTCTGCTTCTCGTTGTTCGGCGCGCTGTTGTTGATAGCTTCTTTGCCTACTAAGGCGCTCCAAAATGCTTTGCTGCAGAGCAGTTAGTGGCCGTTCAACAGATCTTCCATGTATAGGTCGGTGTGCCTCAATTTCTGCCATTCGTTGTTGAGCTTCTAGCAGCTGCTGCTCTTGCTGTCGCTGCACATGGGGCATATGTCTTTGTAGCATTCGGCTGTACCTCTCCCTAGTTAGCCGCTGCGGTACATATGGGTTGATTGCTAGTCTTTAGCCAGGCAGTTGCTGTGATTCAAAAGGCGCTGCACATATTTGCTACATGCCTCATTGTAGACGTCATCTACACTTGCAACTTCCAGATCATTGCTTATGGTGCTATTGCGCACGTACCATGGTGCACCTGCGATCGATCTGAGAATTTTATTTTGCATAGTCTGTATGCGATCGATTTGTGTTTGACTTGCAAGCGGTCCCCAGACGGGCAATGTATATTGCCAAATTGGCGCGATGAGTTGTTTATAAATTATAACTTTTGTTTTGAGGGGTAGTTTGCTTGTGCTATCAATCAGCCATTGCATTTTTTTAAACCTCGTTCTCAATTTGTTAATTACAGCAGATATGTGTCTATTAAATTGCAGCTGTGTATCCAATTTTTACACCGAGGTAAGTGTGCACCGTTTTGGTTGAGTAGCGCTTGCCCGCCTATGTGTGCAGTTTGGGCATCTGTCTGCATTGAAGCCTGCGCAAAGTGTGCATGACGTGCACCGTCTTGGTTGCGTTTATTGTTATACACCATTTAGTGGCCCAAGCAGACAAGACTTCGAGATACTCGTTCATTCGATTAACTGCATCTGTCTGCGTTCTGCCTACAGTTAGTATGACGGTATCGTCTGCATATGTTGCAAGCAATGTTTCTTTGCGGTACATATGCCTCACATATCCAGTTGTTGGACTTATTGGTCCCGGGATGGGCATGTCAGCTGTATATAGCGTATAAAGCACAGGACCAAGTACACTTCCTTGCGGCACTCCAGCCGCAATTCGCTTAGTGCTAGATCGGATTCCCCCGCTGCATTCTACCATGAATGTTCCTCGGCGAGGTAGTGGCTAACTACATTGTATGTAGCATACGGCAGAATCATCCGTAGCTTATATCGTAGCCCATCATGCCATACTCGATCAAAGGCCTCTTGGATATCCATATATGTAGCAGCACAGTACTGGTTCCTTTCATATGCTTCGAGTATAAATTGCGTGACTCGGCCAATCTGCTGGTCTGCTCCGTGTTCGCTGCGAAAGCCAAATTGATGCTTTGGAATAGCATGTATAAAACCATCTGATTCGTACATTCGTCTAAGCAGCAAGTGCTCGAATATTTTTGAAAGACCTGATAGCAGACTTATTGGTCTGTATGAATTTAGTTGCTCTTGCGGCTTGCCAGGCTTAGGAATCATAATGACCACAGCACACTTCCATTTGCTAGGAAAGTAGCCCAAGCGCAGTATGCTATTATAAATGAGGCTAAGGTACTGGAGAGCAACTAACGGCAAGGCCTTTATAGTCCGGTTGTCAATTGTATCAAGCCCAGGAGACTTTTTACGTTTAAGCGCCTTGATTTCTGCTATTACCTCAGCATCTGTTATTGGCCGAAAATGCATCTCTGCGTGCGTTGGAGGTAGCTGTAGTTGACTCGAGATGTGCTCTCTGTCAGCTGTTGAGGCAGTAATAATAGCTTGAATCTCTCTTCTAAATTTTGAGCAAACGCTTCGCTTTTTCTTGCGTAGTTTTACACCACGCGTTGCTGTCTTCTGCGCTGCTGCCAGGTTGAATAAATTTTAACTGGCAACATTTGGCGCAGGCTGCCGTTTAATGCGTTTGTTAGTCGCCACAGCTTTTGAAGTTGTAGCGGTCACTAGGATCTATAGATTCAAGCAGCTATTCAGACGTCTCTCCTTGGCTTCTTTTAAAGTTTCTTCTGGACCTGGTTGCGAGACTGTCATGAATTCTTTTGGCTAATGGGTGTCGGTTCACAAGAAAATGACGGTTTGAGCAGTCTTTGGCCTTGATCATTAATTCCAGAGACTGCTGAGTGGGGCACTGGTTTTGCGCTCGTTGGTGGTATTGAATTGCGTGAGAGTTGTTGCATATGTGCTGCTGCTCGAATATTACGCTCAAGAATATCTGTGGCATCCTCAATAATCTGCAGCTGAGTGGATTTCTGTATCCAGCAGTACATGCTGGTTTAGCCAGGCTTGAAAGCGAGCAACACTCGCGTTAAGTGGTAGTAGATAGCACCTTGACTTGTTAAATGCCGGGGTTTCAAGAAGTTCGATTAATAGAGGGAGATGAGCAGAGCCAAGGTCGTGTGTAGCGCTTATCTGTAGGAGTTCTCTCTGCAGTCCCTTATAGACAGCAAAGTCTATTGCTGACGGCGATTGTCTAGCATTGTACGGGAAGTGTGTTGAGGACCCAGTTGCAAGAATCTCACAATTATTTTGCTGTACATATCTGAGAAGATTACCACCCTCGTCTGCAGGATCTAGCATTGCCCCACCAATGACTTTTCGCATTCCAATCTCCTGCAATGATGAACTTGTTGCCGAGCTCACGAAGAGCAGCAAACAGCTCATCTTCGAGTTCAATCAGGGGCGGGCAATATACTGCTGCGATGTTAATAGCAGACCCATTAAGCAGAGTGATTTTTGTTGCCGCGCACTGCATTGATATAGCGCTAGTGAGAGGAAGAGCGATATGCTGTAGACTGTGCTTGACCAGTATAGCTGCGCCTCCTCGTCGCGTATTAGATGGGTGATGTGCTTGATATGCATAGTAGCCGTCGATCTTGATTTCGTCTGTGCCGCGCAGGTGAGTTTCAACTATGATCATGATGTCAATATTGTTCTGATAGATGAATGCCTCCATTTCTAACATTTTGTTTCGCAACCCACATGCATTCCATGAGGCGATTTTGAGCCCGTTTGATCTGCGATTACTGCTATCTTGACGGACTGTGCTAAGGTATATGGTTGTTAAACATTTTTGTTTGCTAGTAACTTGCTCCTTTGCCATTAGGCAAGATGTCAAGTTGGTAAGTAAGTTCAGAAGTTTTTATCTAGCTTGTTTTTCAATGTTGGAGTTGGCTCTCAAACGATCTTCAGTCATTAAGTGATAAGAGTGTCCAGTTTTTTGACCAATGTCGCAGTTTGTGTTAAGTTAGTAGCGCTCCGTCGCGTACTGCAGCTGCGGCTTCTATTTGCTGGCGTGCCACGTTTGTTGACCATCCATTTGCCTGCGAGTCGGGAGTTGTTGTTGCTTAGGGCGTGATTGGCGATGCTGCTGTTGGGCTGTCTGCCGCTTTAGCTTCTGTTGTTGTTGCTGCTTTTGCGAATGCATATCCGGCAAGCCAGAACGCAAGGCCGACGCATAAGAATTTGCAGCAAAGTTCACAGTTTGGTTGTTGTTGTTGTTGTTGCTGCTGATCAATATGTACCCGTTGGGCGCGACTTTGAGCGTTGACGTTGATCTTGCTGCTGTACCGATTTCAGCGGCTGCTGCTGTCGCTGTTGTGACCGTTTTCTTTGGCGACTACGCATAACTGGCAATGTTGGCTGTCCTAGCTGAGCAAGTAGGACATTGGCTTTGACCACGCTCTCAGACTCTTTTTGCTTGCAGGCATCCTTGAAGGACTGACAAACCCTTTGTAGCTAGCCGCATGTGGGCCTTTTGACTTTCCGTATGCTCGTTGACACACGCACTAGACCAACATTCAAATTGCACCAATCCGCACCTGCATAGCAGGGGGGGGGTGCAGCTAGTGTTGGTATTCTTTATTCAACATTAATATTTGACATATTTTAATTGAATTTTTTAGCGCCTACAGTTTAACATTTCTGTTAACTTACAATTTAACATTATGTTATTTACAGGCACATATTAGCAAGTCCCATCACTAGGACAATTTAACATTAAAAAGGTAAACAAGTTTCCGCTGTTAACAGGCACAGCTTTTAGCTATTGTGTCTTTCAAAGGTAAGTTAAATTTGAATTTAATTTTAATAATCTTATATTTATGCTGCATGTCTTCTTTTCAGGTTTCCTTCGTGCTGCATTTGTTGGAGAAGGTGGACGATGTGCATATTTGCACTCTTCAGAAGGCGCTAAACGATATAGCCAATTTGATCATAACGACTGCTTCGAAGTGTGAGTAGTTGATCTTTGTTTGAATTAGTGGATTATAAACATGCAATCCTTGCATCTCAGCCGTTGTTACCGGTCAGATAAGTAGCGGCTGCTACCACCATGTCGTCTGTTGGTCAACCAGCGGAATATATTTTGCAGCCTGATTAACTGGAGTCGCCATGTTGACCAGCGCTGATCTAGGTACCACAAATTCGAGTCCAAAGTTCGCAGGAGCAGCCGTCGCCAGATTGATCGCCACTGTGCTGGATATTGGAGTCTGAATTGCTGCAAACGTGCTAGCCGCTGTCGTCTGGTAGTATGCATCAGATAATAGCTTCTTGCAGCATATCTTCTGATTCTCAATCTTTGTTGCAGTTGCCGTTCGATCAGACGCCATTGACGTGGAAGCTGCTCTGGTCGAGTTGTCTGATTTGAGCGCTGAATGCACCTAAACGTAACCATGATAACGAGATCAGTAAATCCTTCGCCATTTTGCACATCTGGTATGCCGTCAATTGTGTGCCTCACAGACAAGCTGATAGCCGACGCCGTATTGGTTGCCTGTGCTGTTGTTGTGTTTGTGTGGGTGCTCGTCGTTGGAGAAATGCCCATTGCGCTGCGGTTGGCTGCTGCAGAGTTCGCTGGAAATATAAAAATACTCGTTATCGGCACGGCTTCTTGTTGGGCCGGTGGCATAGCGAAGTACGCTTGCCTTGCCAGACGTCTTGCTTGTAGTCGCTCTTCTAGCCGCTGTAGTGCCTGCTCTCTTTGCGCATATATTTGAGCATATATTTGTATCGACTCTTGATGTTCTCGAAGCATTTCCTGTCTATGTTGCTCTTCTCTTTGTTGCCTCTCTATTCTCCGCTGTGCGCGTTCTGCTTCTCGTTGTTCGGCGCGCTGTTGTTGATAGCTTCTTTGCCTACTAAGGCGCTCCAAAATGCTTTGCTGCAGAGCAGTTAGTGGCCGTTCAACAGATCTTCCATGTATAGGTCGGTGTGCCTCAATTTCTCTGCCATTCGTTGTTGAGCTTCTAGCAGCTGCTGCTCTTGCTGTCGCTGCACATGGGGCATATGTCTTTGTAGCATTCGGCTGTACCTCTCCCTAGTTAGCCGCTGCGGTACATATGGGTTGATTGCTAGGTCTTTAGCCAGGCAGTTGCTGTGATTCAAAAGGCGCTGCACATATTTGCTACATGCCTCATTGTAGACGTCATCTACACTTGCAACTTCCAGATCATTGCTTATGGTGCTATTGCGCACGTACCATGGTGCACCTGCGATCGATCTGAGAATTTTATTTTGCATAGTCTGTATGCGATCGATTTGTGTTTGACTTGCAAGCGGTCCCCAGACGGGCAATGTATATTGCCAAATTGGCGCGATGAGTTGTTTATAAATTATAACTTTTGTTTTGAGGGGTAGTTTGCTTGTGCTATCAATCAGCCATTGCATTTTTTTTAAACCTCGTTCTCAATTTGTTAATTACAGCAGATATGTGTCTATTAAATTGCAGCTGTGTATCCAATTTTACACCGAGGTAAGTGTGCACCGTTTGGTTGAGTAGCGCTTGCCCGCCTATGTGTGCAGTTTGGGCATCTATCTGCATTTGAAGCCTGCGCAAAGTGTGCATGACGTGCACCGTCTTGGTTGCGTTTATTGTTATACACCATTTAGTGGCCCAAGCAGACAAGACTTCGAGATACTCGTTCATTCGATTAACTGCATCTGTCTGCGTTCTGCCTACAGTTAGTATGACGGTATCGTCTGCATATGTTGCAAGCAATGTTTCTTTGCGGTACATATGCCTCACATATCCAGTTGTTGGACTTATTGGTCCCGGGATGGGCATGTCAGCTGTATATAGCGTATAAAGCACAGGACCAAGTACACTTCCTTGCGGCACTCCAGCCGCAATTCGCTTAGTGCTAGATCGGATTCCCCCGCTGCATTCTACCATGAATGTTCTCTCGGCGAGGTAGTGGCTAACTACATTGTATGTAGCATACGGCAGAATCATCCGTAGCTTATATCGTAGCCCATCATGCCATACTCGATCAAAGGCCTCTTGGATATCCATATATGTAGCAGCACAGTACTGGTTCCTTTCATATGCTTCGAGTATAAATTGCGTGACTCGGCCAATCTGCTGGTCTGCTCCGTGTTCGCTGCGAAAGCCAAATTGATGCTTTGGAATAGCATGTATAAAACCATCTGATTCGTACATTCGTCTAAGCAGCAAGTGCTCGAATATTTTTGAAAGACCTGATAGCAGACTTATTGGTCTGTATGAATTTAGTTGCTCTTGCGGCTTGCCAGGCTTAGGAATCATAATGACCACAGCACACTTCCATTTGCTAGGAAAGTAGCCCAAGCGCAGTATGCTATTATAAATGAGGCTAAGGTACTGGAGAGCAACTAACGGCGAGGCCTTTATAGTCCGGTTGTCAATTGTATCAAGCCCAGGAGACTTTTTACGTTTAAGCGCCTTGATTTCTGCTATTACCTCAGCATCTGTTATTGGCCGAAAATGCATCTCTGCGTGCGTTGGAGGTAGCTGTAGTTGACTCGAGATGTGCTCTCTGTCAGCTGTTGAGGCAGTAATAATAGGCTTGAATCTCTCTTCTAAATTTTGAGCAAACGCTTCCGCTTTTTCTTGCGTAGTTTTACACCACGCGTTGCTGTCTTCTGCGCTGCTGCCAGGTTGAATGAACTTTTTAACTGGCACATTTGGCGCAGGCTGCCGTTTAATGCCGTTTGTTAGTCGCCACAGCTTTTGAAAGTTGTAGCGGTCACTAGGATCTATAGATTCAAGCAAGCTATTCAGACGTCTCTCCTTGGCTTCTTTTAAAGTTCTTCTGACCTGGTTTGCGAGACTGTCATGAATTCTTTTGGCTAATGGGTGTCGGTTCACAAGAAAATGACGTTTGAGCAGTCTTTTGGCCTTGATCATTAATTCCAGAGACCTGCTGAGTGGGCACTGGTTTTGCGCTCGTTGGTGGTATTGAATTGCGTGAGAGTTTGTTGCATATTGTGCTGCTGCTCGAATATTACGCTCAAGAATATCTGTGGCATCCTCAATATCTGCAGCTGAGTGGATTTCTGTATCCAGCAGTACATGCTGGTTTAGCCAGGCTTGAAAGCGAGCAACACTCGCGTTAAGTGGTAGTAGATAGCACCTTGACTTGTTAAATGCCGGGGTTTCAAGAAGTTCGATTAATAGAGGGAGATGATCAGAGCCAAGGTCGTGTGTAGCGCTTATCTGTAGGAGTTCTCTCTGCAGTCCCTTATAGACAGCAAAGTCTATTGCTGACGGCGATTGTCTAGCATTGTACGGGAAGTGTGTTGAGGACCCAGTTGCAAGAATCTCACAATTATTTTGCTGTACATATCTGAGAAGATTACCACCTCGTCTGCAGGATCTAGCATTGCCCCACCAATGACTTTTCGCATTCCAATCTCCTGCAATGATGAACTTGTTGCCGAGCTCACGAAGAGCAGCAAACAGCTCATCTTCGAGTTCAATCAGGGGCGGGCAATATACTGCTGCGATGTTAATAGCAGACCCATTAAGCAGAGTGATTTTGTTGCCGCGCACTGCATTGATATAGCGCTAGTGAGAGGAAGAGCGATATGCTGTAGACTGTGCTTGACCAGTATAGCTGCGCCTCCTCGTCGCGTATTAGATGGGTGATGTGCTTGATATGCATAGTAGCCGTCGATCTTGATTTCGTCTGTGCCGCGCAGGTGAGTTTCAACTATGATCATGATGTCAATATTGTTCTGATAGATGAATGCCTCCATTTCTAACATTTTGTTTCGCAACCCACATGCATTCCATGAGGCGATTTTGAGCCCGTTTGATCTGCGATTACTGCTATCTTGACGGACTGTGCTAGGTATATGGTTGTTAAACATTTTGTTTGCTAGTAACTTGCTCCTTTGCCATTAGGCAAGATGTCAAGTTGGTAAGTAAGTTCAGAAGTTTATCTAGCTTGTTTTCAATGTTGGAGTTGGCTCTCAAACGATCTTCAGTCATTAAAGTGATAAGAGTGTCCAGTTTTTGACCAATGTCGCAGTTTGTGTTTAAGTTAGTAGCGCTCCGTCGCGTACTGCAGCTGCGGCTTCTATTTTGCTGGCGTGCCAGCGTTTGTTGACCATCCATTTGCCTGCGAGTCGGGAGTTGTTGTTGCTTAGGGCGTGATTGGCGATGCTGCTGTTGGGCTGTCTGCCGCTTTAGCTTCTGTTGTTGTTGCTGCTTTTGCGAATGCATATCCGGCAAGCCAGAACGCAAGGCCGACGCATAAGAATTTGCAGCAAAGTTCACAGTTTGTTGTTGTTGTTGTTGTTGCTGCTGATCAATATGTACCCGTTGGCGCGACTTTGAGCGTTGACGTTGATCTTGCTGCTGTACCGATTTCAGCGGCTGCTGCTGTCGCTGTTGTGACCGTTTTCTTTGGCGACTACGCATAACTGGCAATGTTGGCTGTCCTAGCTGAGCAAGTAGGACATTGGCTTTGACCACGCTCTCAGACTCTTTTTGCTTGCAGGCATCCTTGAAGGACTGACACCCTTTGTAGCTAGCCGCATGTGGGCCTTCGCAATTAGCGCATTTTGGCCGATCGTTAGCCGTTATGCTGCACTCAGTAGAAGGATGTTTCCCGCTACATTTGACGCATACGAATGCACGCCTGCAATAATTCTTCGTATGCCCAAATTGTTGGCAGCGATGACATTGCACTATATCGGTAGTTCGTAGTGGTAGCTCAGCTTTGACCTTTTGGCCGCCGAGCATGTTGAGCCTTAAAATTTCGCTGTTATTTGCCTTGGGCTCCAATTCTATCTCAAACATGTTTTTTTTTAGTTGAGTGCATCCGAGCACAATATATGTCAGCAGTGGAATGAAATTCCTCCGTGACTTGTTTTATTCTTTTCCATTACTTTCACTTTAGCAACATATAAGAACATTATTTGGCAACATTGTATCCTAACTCTATAAACATGTTGTTAGACACATAGAATGTGTCTGTATTGAACTTACGTACTAAATACAATAAATACTTATACTAAAATACTAAAAGACTAAAAGTACTAATTCCCTAATAATACTAAATTGCTTTAACAACTTAAAACTGTCAGTGTGGCAACACTGCATAGGTGGCAACGCTACGCAATATACAGTTAGATTTGACTACATGTGCTCTGCATATACATTTTTTTTTTTTCCCGTCGCAACGTGGAAATCGAAAACTTTTTAACAGAGGTAAGTCGCATTTTTGCAAAAATTAATTTCTTAACATATAACTAATTATAAATATTTCTTTTTACAGATTTATGTCGAAATTGCTATCAGATTTGATAATTGCGCTCAGAGGTCGCGCTTTTCTATGCGCCAGGCGCCGCCAGCCATGTACAGGCCGCCACACAGGCGCCGACGCATTCATTTGCTGATGCGCAATAAGCCTCGCATGGGCATTTGACCGCATCCGACGACGCCTCCGCTGGCTTATTGGATTGTGCTGCCGCTTCTTATGGACACCACTATGCAGACAGGAGTCGCTGCATATAAAAGTGTCGTGCACATGGTGTGCATTTTGGATTCCATATGGGCCACGCTCAGTCGGCCAGTTTGGACTTCTTCGAGGCCGGAGCATGGCCATTGACCATTGCAGCTCCGTCTGCAGGGGCGCCCGCACGAGTTCCGCGTGTGCTGGGAGGCAGGTACGTGCTTTTTTCCTACATTGCGGAGTCCGTCTAAATTGCCTTTTTCGTTTTTCAGGTATGGCTGCTGTGAAAAACATCGGATATGGCCCAGCCAC